AATTTTAACATGCATCATATTCACACGGCTCACAACTCTAGTAAAAGATGTGACTTTACGTCTCAATATTTTAATTACGTGAAGGTCGTATAACATTAAAGGTGTCATAAATAATAAATCTAATTATATGCTGATTTTTACGGACAAAAATCACACTTGTTTATCACTAATAAGAATAGTTGCCTATTTGACTTGCAAGTACTACATGAACCACCTTAAATGTGGTATTAGTATATCACTGTAAAGAGTGAACCTTTAGCTACAAAATTTATATAGGAAAGTTTTGTCTACGTCGCTTTGTTTAACCGGTATAGAGCAAAAACGACAACGGTGGAAAAATTGAAATCTCAAAAATACCGGGGCTAAACTGTCACCCCCCGGGGCAAATCCGTCACACTGCATTTTCAACACATACGTACATCTAATCCTGAAAAATGATAGGATACATTTTAATAATTGTTTTTTAAAAGAAAAATATATAAATTTATTTAACATTTTTATGCAAAACATTAAAAAATAATTGTTGTACCTATTCCATAAAACAATTTAAGCACGTGAATACAGATCCTGACAAGCGCACGCATGTGTTGTGTGCCCTACGCTCGCACGCAATGCACTGTTTCCCATATGTTCTGTTTATTGTCAATTTTTCTGAGTACACGCAGCACGTATTATCCAAGTCTTCGTCAGAATCCGACCGCTGCTGCTTCCTTGATTTCGATTTACGCCCACTGCTCTCATCGTTTTTCTTCTTCAACCAGTCGTTCAACGTGGTTCTCCGGATATCGAATTGTTTTGCGGCTGCGTAAGCGCTCATTTTATCTTTTCTCACCGCAAAAACTGCCTTCTTGATTTGCTCCTTGTCGATGGGAGTCGTTTTGCAACGATATGTGTGTACCATTTCCCTCCTATACAAACTGATGCACGTGCAAGGGAAGACAGAATCACCCTCGAGGGAAACCTGAAATCGCCGTGAGCTGAAGTCGTGCGCCCGGCGCGCCACAGTGATGAGACTGCCGGATTAGCCCCGGGTGCTTATTGACGGATTAGCCCCAAACACAAGTTTCAGGTTTGATCGCCCACGAAATATTAGACATCAACGATAATGAAAAAACTACACTGGATTCGTGTTCAGCATGCATTACTCTTTATAATCACGTACCTCGAGATTTGAAGAACAAATATTATTGCAGATATTACAAAATTTCCACGCACAGAAAATTTCAATTTCACCTTCCAAAAACACGTTTGCTCTCGTAAAAATCATAACACGGCAGGTAACCTGCCGAAACTCCGTTGGTCACATGGGTACCATAAGCAGCGTTTACAATGTTAATAGCGAGTTCGCACAATATACAGGTTCCGAGATATTTGATTTGACGGATTTACCCCCCCCCCGTAGACGTTTCAGCCCCGGTCTCCCCTAATATTAATGTCCTTGTTATGATATGCAATAATAGTCAACCGTCAAAGAATGCATACAACCGATATACACTCTTTACAAAAATTAAAGGAACACTTAAATTTTCTTAAAAACTAGGCAAAATTTGAGCAGCTGTATTTTCGTTAAAAATGAACGAAATTTAAGTTTTAAAAAAGGGTTTTAAAGGACGAAATCTCTACTTTCAGAAGATCACTATTTTCTTTTAGTTTCTGTGAGTTTGGTAATTTTTACATATAGAAAACCACGAGCTGGACAAAATGGGAAATTTTCTTCTCATTTTGTGGGCCTGTCACGTGCCCAAAAAAATCCTGCGAAATTTTTTTATTTTTTAATGTGAAAGCTTAAAGTTTTCTCTACAAAATCTTTTTTCGAAAATGTTTCTACGATTTTTTTGTTACTGAGTTATCGCTGATTGAATAAGAAATGAGCATTTTGACTTTGATTGCTCATAACTCCGTTAAAAATCATCGTTCCGCAATTCGCAAAATGGATTCTTAAAGCTAAAACTTTGCTCTATCAAGTGGTATAATCGCCAATTTTTTCATAAAAATTTTTGGAAACATTACAAGTGAGTAAAAATATCGTAAAAATTTACAATTTTTTACTTTCTTATTTAGATCCAAAAAACAATTGTGCAGAACAAAAATAAAAATTTATTCTTTACGTTTTTTTGTACTTTTAAGTACCTTACATTTAAAAAAAATTTGCCGAATAGCTATGAGATTTTCTTCATGGTGGCCACTATAGTTTTACAGGGCAAAACGTACAAAAAATTGTGAAATTGCTTAATTTCAGTGAAAATCAAGGGAAAAAATTAAAAATAACGTTTGGCGAACGTTAAAAAACAGTTTTCAATTACGCTGACAATACATTGAAGATGAGTAAGTGTCAGCATAAGCTAAAAAGACCTTTTTTTATAAGAAATTAATGTTTTGTTTTCAAAATTTGAAAAAATACCGCCGGCATTAGCGTTACCCAAAGCGTACCACGAGGAGGTTGCCCGGTCGGATTTACGCTTCGTTATGCGCACGCGTGCGCGCGTGTGTGTATGTGTGTCATTCAACTGAGACCCCGCGACTCGTCACTTTCGCAGTATTTTATGACTCCAAACTCATTCATGACTGTGTGCGTGTCTTACTGTTCCGTATCTTACCCGCCGTCATCGTCGCCTACGATTAAATTATGCATATTTGTTAATTAATAGACGACAAAGGCAATGGGACTCTGTACTGTTTACGGACGAGTCTAGATTTTGCCTATTTGGAAATGACAGACGAATCCGTGTTTGGCGGCGTCGAGGGGAGCGCTATTTGAATGATTGTAGCAGACCAATTCGAGCTTTTCATGGTGGTTCTGTAATGGTGTGGGCAGGAATATCTCGATTTTCACGGACACCTTTAATAACTATCCCTCCACCAGGATTGACTTCTAGACGATATGTCCATGAGATATTGCAACCTTACGTTCTACCTATGAGAAATCGAATCGGTCAGAGGTTTCGTCTATTACACGACAACGCACGACCGCACACGGCTTTTTATACTCAGCAGTTTCTGAGGGATCATCAAATCGAGACTCTATTGCATCCGCCAATGAGTCCCGATTTGAATCTAATCGAGCATATTTGGGACATGTTAGAGCGAAGATTGCGCGAAAATTATCATAATATTCCCGATTTGGCTTTGCTTGCCAGAGCCCTTCAGGAAACTTGGCAGCAAATCCCTCAACTAGCGACCTACGACCATCCATCCATTCACCCACACACGCACGCATGTACGCACGCACGCACACACACATATACACACACACACGCACGCGCATACACACGCACACAGTCATGAATGAGTTTGGAGTCATAAAATACTGCGAAAGTGACGAGTCGCGGGGTCTCAGTTGAATGACACACATACACACACGCGCGCGCGCGCGCGTGCGCATAACAAAGCGTAAATCCGACCGGGCAACCTCCTCGTGGTACGTTTTGGGTAACGCTAATGCCGGCGGTATTTTTTCAAATTTTGAAAACACAAAACATTAATTTCTTATAAAAAAAGGTCTTTTTAGCTTATGCTGACACTTACTCATCTTCAATGTATTGTCAGCGTAATTGAAAACTGTTTTTTAACGTTCGCCAAACGTTATTTTTAATTTTTTCCCTTGATTTTCACTGAAATTAAGCAATTTCACAATTTTTTGTACGTTTTGCCCTGTAAGACCATAGTGGCCACCATGAAGAAAATCTCATAGCTATTCGGCAAATTTTTTTTAAATGTAGGGTACTTAAAAGTACAAAAAAACGTAAAGAATAAATTTTTATTTTTGTTCTGCACAATTGTTTTTTGGATCTAAATAAGAAAGTAAAAAATTGCAAATTTTTACGATATTTTTACTCACTTGTAATGTATCCAAAAATCTTTATGAAAAAATTGGCGATTATACCACTTGATAGAGCAAAGTTTTAGCTTTAAGAATCCATTTTGCGAATTGCGGTACGATGATTTTCAACGGAGTTATGAGAATCAAAGTCAAAATGCTCATTTCTTATTCAATCAGCGATAACTCAGTAACAAAAAATCGTAGAAACATTTTCGAAAAAAGATTTTGTAGAGAAAACTTTGAGCTTTCATATTGAAAAATTAAAAAATTTCGCAGGATTTTTTTGGGCACGTGACAGGCCCACAAAGTGAGAAGATAATTTCCCATTTTGTCCAGCTCGTGGTTTTCTATATGTAAAAATTATCAAACTCACAAAAACTAAAAGAAAATAGTGATCTTCTGAAAGTAGAGATTTCGTCCTTTAAAACCCTTTTTTAAAACTTAAATTTCACTCATTTTTAACGAAGATACAGTTGCTCAAATTTTGCTTAGTTTTTAAGAAAATTTAAGTGTTCCTTTAATTTTTGTGAGGAGTGTATATTAGATTTCTCAGATTACTATGCTTTTTGCTGGAAAGATATACGTAATACATCCTTAAACACTGTCCGTAGAAAAAGTCGCGTAAAGGCCGTGGCACATAGAAAAACTTAAGCATTAAAACTGAAGCAGTAACCAAATCAGCTAATCATAGTCAAGAACTTAAGGCACGACTCTAAGCGGTACCGAATCCATACCGTTAATTTCCTTACTGCTTAAGTTTTATTGCTTAAGTTTTTTTATGTGCCACGGCCCTAACTTGTAAATACCCCATGTATCGTCACAATTATCGCCGCGTAAGGGCCAGCGCGCGAACATTGCCGTAGCGTCTTACGCCTTACGTGAGAATCTTGCGTTACGCGACACGCAAGCAAATCTTGTGACTCTTGATCAGCATCACATAAACTATATTTATTTCCAAAGTTTCAGCCAATTTTACCGAAATCTAATTTCCATAAGAGTTGTGCGAAGTCCTTTACTAATGAAACAATCTAACTCACGTACTGTATTATTATTAAAAAATCGGTAAAAAATTTCATTAAGTACCTTTTTATATTTTATGTACTTGCGAAATTATTTTTTTATAGTTTAATAATTAAATATCTTATACATTGTTATAGGTCATGACACACCACTCATTTGATTATCCAGATTTTAATGCCGAAATTCAATTAGTAAGATTAAACAGTCAACATTTTGTAAGCATCGATCCCGCGGAAATGTATTCAAAACCCGAAGTGAAGGATTTGACAATTTCTACGCGGAAATGCATATTTAGCGATGAGGCTGACAAAGTGTTATATGCAAATGTCAAAGAGAGAAATTTAACTTTCATTGAATACTCATATCACAATTGCCTTGCAGAATGTCGGGCTAGCATTACAAGAGCAAAATGTGGTTGCATCCCATATTACTTTCCACAAAACAGTAAGTAAGCAAATTATGTAAATGCAGGAATAGATAATTTTATTGTTCGATAACTATTGCTCGCGTAGAAAAAAATAATTTTTTATTAAATATAAATTTTGTCTAATTTTTGGATAAATTAAAAACTTTATTTAATAAAGAAATAAAAGAGTTAAAATCGAAATATTTTCCAGTTTTATCGATGATCTGAATGTTATTTTTCGAGTAGTTTGCGAATAAAGATATCAAAGCATTTTCGGACATCGTCAATTGTCCTGAAGTATGTATCTGTCAAATGATGTAGCGACAGACTTCTCTATACTATTAGACCGCTTCTATATAGAGGAGATCAGGAGGTCGATTCTGTATTTTGAGAGACGAGGTGAAAATTACAAAAGTAAACAAATTTACTAGATTTTGACAAATAAAATTGTAGATTCTCTATTGAATTTCCTCACTTTTGTAATTTTCACCTCGTCCCAAGATACAGAATCGACCCCCAGGGCAAACTCGACATGATTTTTTCAAAAAAGGCAATTTTCAACAATTTATTAAAAATTTTAATTGTAGGGAAGACCGGGGCTAGAAGTTCCGATCTTAAAACAACATAAAAAATTTTCATATCGACTTATTCATTGTTAAAATTATTCTAGTTTAAGGTTTTAAAGTTATTTGTTTTATATTATTATAGGTTTCTCGTAGAAAGTCATTTATTTGTGACAGGTCGGAGAGGAACTTCTTGCCCCGTTGTGGCGTAAGTTGTTACTAAGAAAAAAATTATTGCCTTTTAAAAAATATTCTACTTTTGAATTGAATAAAGCAAAAGAATTGTTTTCATAGGTAAATTTTATTAAGGCAGTGTTTAATACACATGTATTTTTTTTTAATTCTAAAGTATAACAAAATAATCTTAATAATCTTAATAATCTTAATAATTTTAATAATCTTCAACTATTAAGAAGTCAACAATCATAAACATTATCTTTGCGATAGATCACATCTATAACAATAACCCATCAATCTGCTTTATACTAAATCTTTGTACTTCGTGAGACCAGTTTCTTTAATAACAGATTCAGCAGCTTTATGCATGAGTTCGACGAAAGTGGCGCCCCTTTCAGGGCTACTTTGACCAAGCACCGATTAACTTAATCATTGATTAGTCCATTGAAAATGACCAATCGCATTTGCTCACAAAGCAGATTGACAAATGTGATTTGTCATTTCCAATGGACTAATCAATGATTAAGTTAATCGGAGCTTGGTCGAAGTAGCCCTCAGTCTTTCTTTTGTAAGTTCGCATCCTAAAACAAAGTAAGAATTGATATAGACGAGCATCTTATTTAAGACGGGGTAACAATATGCCCCAAGTCACGGTAACAACTAATCCCAATTGACACATGTATCAATTTGATAACATTTTCTATTTATTTATTGAAGTAGGTTAATAAACGCTGCTACGTAATGTTGTTAGATAGTATTCAACCCATAACACAATCCATTTAATATTTATAACATTAAATAATCAAAATAAACTAAAACATAACAATCAGAAAATATTTACTTACTTGGTGCGCGACTAACTCCTTGCTTATAAGTAACGGTTGGCAAGGACGCTACTAAAATGGCCGACACGGTGGCGTAATCGGCGAACGCATCGAAATATGCTTCAAGCATATCGCTTCCTCTTTTTATTTTAGAGTTAAGACCATTGGAACAACTTACCCCGGAACATTTAACCCCGAGCTCCCCTACACATTTAAAGAGTGTTCCTTTAGGTACAAAATTGCTTAAGGAACTTTTACTGTACGTCGCTTAGTTTTGCCTCCAGGAAAAGAAAAGTGACGCAAAGACAAATTTTCAAATTAAAAAATGCCGGGGTAAACTCGACACTTTGCCTGATCGACACAATTCGATCTGGAGACGTGCGCACACATTTGTCATGGGCTACATAGCTGCATGACAAGCATTGTTTGTTATTGGGAGCCGATAAAACGGCGTGGTGTCGATTTTGCCCCGGACATCGTTTTTCACTTTTGTCACCCCAAAAACATGAAAATTTTGAAAATATGCAAAAACAATTATCGGATTCGTCTAAAGCATTAAATCTTCCATCAAAATCACTTACCTGTAGATTCGCAAGAGTAAGCTCGATGTAAGAGTTCGATGAATGAGTAAAAATTTTCGAGAGATCAGAAAAATTACTTTTTTCTAACGCGAGCGTGAAATGGGCCGCTTTTTGCGCTTGTTTTGAGTGGGCAAAACGATCTATTTCTTCACTAGTTGAAAAATGGAGCTATTTCTCAACTAGTGGAGAAATGAAATTGTAAAACAAGCGCGAAAAGCGGCCTGTTTCACGCTCTTGTTAGAAAAAATAGTATGAACAACTCGTGGAAAGAGTGGTCAAGCCCAAATAAGTGTGATAGTCGCACTCGCTTCGCTCGACCAATTTCACACTCATTCAGAATCGACCACTTTTCCCATTAGTTGGAAAATATATTATTTCCTAACGCGAGCGTGAAATGGGCCGCTTTTCGCACTTGTTTTGAGTGAGCAAAACGATCCATTTCGCAATAAATGACGTAAGCGTTGAGAAATGGAGCCATTTCTTAACTAGTAGAGAAATAAAATTGTAAAACAAGCGCGAAAAGCGGCCTGTTTCACGCTCTTGTTAAGAAAAATAGTATGAACAACTCATGGGAAGAGTGGTCGAGCCCAAATGAGTGTAGTGATGGTCGCACTCGCTTCGCTCGTGCAACCAACTTCACACTCATTCAGAATCGACCACTTTTCCCACTAGTTGTACAATATACTATTTACCATCGAAAATGCTTATGTCCCCTTATGGAAAAATACACCCAACTTTTGGTGTTAAAAAAACACCATAGAAAAACCTTTAAAGTTGGGTGCGATTTCGGACCGCCAAGTGAAGGTTAACCATCATTTGAAAGTTAAAAAGTCCTTTGTACCATTTTTTTCTCTGGCAAACAATCATCAAGATATCACAAGTTAAATATTGAAAAAGTTACAAATTTTTCCTTGAATATCTCAAAAAGTATTGCAAATAAAAGAATTTTTCAAACAAAAGTTGTTCAAATTAATTAATAGAGAAAGATGGTACAATAAAAAAATAGAAGTTTTTATTTAAAAAATTTGACTTATTGTTAGGCCCTATTGGGCTCAATACAGGCCCTGGATCCAAAATTCAATAAGATCGTCTATTGGCCTTCTTCAAACCTTTCAATTTTTATTTGAAACACTTTTCCAATAAACCAAGCCGTCAATTGACACTTAACGAAGATTAACACAATAACATTTAAATGACACCCAACGATAAAGGGATCATGGCGACACTGATTAAATCGACATAGAACATTAAAGGTTAACACCCTGTTAACACCAAACCAACATCTAACAATGAGGATCAATTTCCAACATACACTAAACATTGAGGCTTAATCCCCAACCTACACTTAAGGCCATTGCACGTAACAAAGTTTTAGTTTTAATCGTAAGGCCGTAAGAAAATAGACCAATCACAGTCGATTATTCTTCTCGCACTTGTAGAATAATCGAGTGTGATTGGTCTATTTTCTAACGGCCTTACGATTAAAACTAAAACTTTGTTACGTGCAATAGCCTTTATCATTGAGAATAAACTCCCAATATACTTATCATTGAGGATTAAACCCACAACTTACCTAAACCTTAAGGGGATGCTAAAGCTAAGGCCGAACTTCCTCGACGTCGGTAATGTCAACTCTGTCAACTAAAGCAAAGGCCGAACTGATATTGGAGACCTCGCGTGGTGACAACGCGAAACTCCGGTTTCAGTGTTACCAACTTATTTCAGATTCTATGAAGTGGTGTATGTCCGTACACGTACACACACCACTGAATTGCTCACACGGACGCACGGTAGAGAGACATATGCTATAGACGCGGCAACGCCGCGCGGCGTTGCCGCGTCTTGGATTCTTTAGCAATACGGCCTGAACCTGAAAAATGCTTTCTGGCCGTCTGTAGCAGAAGGCAGTAACGTATCAAGGCTGATAAGCACCCGCTTTTTATAAATTATATATATTCTTATGCACACATGTGCGTATATATATATAATATGTATCTAATCATTATGTGTATGTTTATAATTGTCTGATGACAAATAATAACAGTAGCATAATTGAGAATGTGAATTAGTATACATAGTATATTGACGCGGGTACTTATTAGACTTGACAATTTACTGCATCTCTTGCACCTCTAATAATTTTTTTCTTGTAATGTAAATGAATGATGTAAAACTCTTTCAAAGGATCTATCCATTCTTGATGGGGTAAAATAATAACTTTTATAACAAATGCAATAGATATTAAATATATAGTATTGATTTAATAACTAATTTTATTCTGTCTTTATATAGAAAAATATACCTCAGTCTTAGCATCAGAGTAGAGGGTAACGGCAGCTGATGAACAGTATAAATAACAAAACTGAATAAAAATCTTAATTATTATAACATAATCCCAGTAAACCAGTTTGTAACTGTTATGTAACTTAGGGAACACATGGAAAGAACAACTCTTCATTAGTACCTATACTTTACTCCTGTAAAAAAATTTTGCGATCTATAAAGCCGTTTCAAAGAACGAACTTTGACAGATATATGTCGTACAGATGCCTCGTTAGACAAGGACAGATATCTCTCGTATTATTCCTTTCTCTCCTATGTATGTAATTTGCATGCACCCATTTATTCCTCTTTCTCTCTCTCTCTCTCTCTCTCTCTCCATCTCTGTCCCTCTCTTTCTTAGTACACTGGGTAGCGTACACTTAGTATGGTAAAATCAGGATTTTTTGGAAGTGTGGTGTTAGGATTCTAGGGTAAATTTGAAGAAAGAAAAACGGTAATGTTAGTTAGGACAAGAAACTCTATTTATTATATTTCGTTGATAAAATGTTGGGAAATATAAACGAAAATACATATATAAATGAAATATATTATGATATATTATTTTTTTTAT